GTTGTCTTAACAACAGATTGTTGGAGGTTGTAAGTAGGTAGAAAAATTCTTTATTTTTGGTTGTTACTGACGGTACTCGAGTATTAGCGCGAAAGAGGCATGCAATTTTGAAAAATAAAATTATGGTACACATGAATGATTGATGGAATGTCATATTTATTTATTTTAAAATCCGTATGCAAAAAGGGAGACAAAAAGATCGTGGCTAAATCAGCGGCAGACAGTTATCAAAAGCGCGATATTCCCTTGAGCTTTCCGGGAACGGTCGCCACCTCATCCATTTAACTATAGATAAATAATGTATACGAGTTTATTATAAATATATTTTTTTTATTATTTCAATAACATATATCATACAATAGAAAACGAATTTCTTGCAGTATAGGTATATAATAAAATTATATAAGGATTCTTGCCACTTAACTGCTTGGGAGCAGGTTGATCCACATTATGACAAACACAGCGTAGAATTAAATTTCTATATAAGCAGTTAAGTGGCAAGAATCCTTATATAATTTTATTATATATCATACATTTACTATTCTGTCTCACTATTTTTATCTGACATATCGTGCTGCAGATCCTCGCTCTCGCAAACGAGTCTTCCTCTTAATCGATATCTGCACCGTAAAATTTTTGTAGACTTACATGTATTATGTTGAAAACACTTATACAAGTTTTTTTTGCAAAAGAAGATGTTTTAAATTTTCCTGTATATTTTAAAAAACTTTTTAGAACTGCCTGTTCACCGCAAATTTACCCGCGGTATAATTTCTTAATATATCATGCTTACGGCTTTACTCTAGGGTTACGACACTAAAAGAATGAATGCAAATACAGAAAAAATACAGGTGACTCACAAAATTATTTAAAAATAAATCTATCTAAATACTAATGTATTTTTAAATTTTCAAACTTTAATAACTCGGTGATTTTGGACTTTTGATTTGAAAAAACGATAAAGAAAAAATAGGTTTCTTTTATCGAGATTTGCCAGCCCTGAAAATATTTCCACTTATTCAAGTCACCCTGTAGTAGACTCACTCTGAAGAGAAATATCGCGCTTTTGATAACTGTCTACCGCTGATTGAGCCACGGTTTTTTTTGTCTGCTCTTTTGCATACGGATTTTTAAATAAATAAATATGATATTCCGCCAATCGGCATGCATGTATGCGACTAGGTTGTAGATTTTTTTTTGTCAAAATTTCATGCCTCTTTCGCGTTGCCTGTCGGCATTTCAGCCACGAGGAAAATACCTGCCAATAATTTTCCACGTTTCTTAATAATAAATAAAAGCCAATTGGCAATGATAACTCGTGTACCTTATAATATTTTTAGCGTCAAAACTTCACCCTTTCGATTGGCCGCTCCCGCTTTAAGCCCCGGGATCGCGCTGACAGAAATGACTCTTTCATAATGGCTACACAAAAGGATACTTCACTAGAAATATTAGCCATGTAACGATAATAAGGTTTTTTATGTAGCCAGCTCTCCGTCTATAAAGTGTAACGCCGCGCCGCTCAGTAAATTTTATATCAGTTTACCGAGCAGTTTGCAAAAAAAATAAATACCTACGTATAACCATTTTAGGGAAATTAAACATGTTTAAACAATAAAATACTAAGGTAAAAAAAAAATTATTAACTTTCTGAACAAGAACGTAAAATTGAAAAACATTTAATTAAAATATAACTTAACAGTTGCATAAATCGCAAACATGTCCTTGGGGGCGATCAGCTCCTGTACAAAATACATGAACCCATTTTCCACATTTTAAGTTCAAATTTGTCCATAACCTCTTCTAAGTTTTGAAGAAAATGTGCAATTTCTGTTTTGAATGGGGGGAGAGGGGAATGTAAACTGTGTGAACAATTTTAGACAACTCCTGATGATGACAGGATTAGAGCGAAACGTTAAGTTTAAAGTTTAAACCCATTATAAATTGTCAAAAGCATTGTTTTTCGTGTTTCCAATTTTCGCAATCGCGCACTAGTTAGGTTACTAGTTTGCGCACATAGCACGCCCACTTATGGCCTCTAAAATTGTGCACAACGCCTGACCGGCCCAGTTATTACGCTGTTTAAACGCGAGCTTATTTTTGTGCACAGGAAATTTTACTCGTTTGCTTATCGTCATAAAAAACAATTTTCACACCACGAATTAGGGAAAAGATTTTTATCTGTATACTTATAGTATAATCTGTGGTTTAAATAAAGAGTTTTAGTATATTTTGTTTAATTATAATCATTGTCCCATATTAATAATATTATTCTTAAAATCTATTATACATTAAGTTGTAACCTAAAAAAGAAATTCCCTACCTTCAGTCAGGCGATAAAAAATTCCATATCCATTCCAAGAATTCTTTCACAAATTATTACGTACGCCCGCTTGCAAAAGTTGAACATGAAAACTGAATAAATCTCAGTGAGGGAAATTTAGAAAAGTCGGTCAAGTGCGTGCTTACTTTCTTTTAGTTGTGTTTTAGTTTTGTGGGTTCCCTGTTTAATGACACACTCCAATGTTCTGGTTTGGAACGTTGTAATCTGACCTGTTTTTTATATTACACTAAGATTTAACCAAGAAAATACAACTGGGTAGTTTATTACCAACTCTTATTTAATTTGGCAAATTTTGTGTTTTCTATTAAACCATAAAGCTTAATAGAAATTTTAGTGTCGTTTTCACAATGATTATACCTAATAAAATAGAACAATTACATTGAGAATCTACCGTATGATCGACAAAAACGGCGTCTATTTAGCTTGAAAATGACTATTGATGACATTTGCCATATAATTTTACATAAAATTACAGTGATCTTCATTTCATAGTCATCTCTGACACCGCTATTTTTCGATCATATTGTACTACCGTAGGGACCTATACCGGGTGCGTCTCAAAAGTGGCTCACCCCCTATAACTTTTTTATTTTTTCAGATACAAAAACGAGAATTGGTATGTTAGTATATGACATAAATTAGGATTGATTGACGTATTCAATTCTTTTTGGTCACTTCCTGTTTCACCGGAAATGACTGCAACTTTTGATTTTTAAATGGCACCCTCGGTATATTTCTACATTATTCGATAGAAAATGACACTCTGACATTACTTTTGACATTATGGCTTAATAAAATTGTTAATTTTACACTCAGTCAGAAGACTGACAAACTCTGAAAAAATCAGCTTGCCCGTAATTTTTTTATATACAATTTTACTGGATTATTAAGACAACAATTAATTCAACTAAACAAAAAAGAGTAGAATTAAATATAAAAATATCATCCATTATTAGATCGCTATAATTTATAATTATTTATATTATTTTATTTTAACTGTACTCTTTCTATGTTCATATCTAAACATTGGCGTTGTGAATTACATACCCAATTAATATTTTAAAAATATCAATACTTTTAGACTGTCAATATTTTTTATAAGGTGCTAAAATTACTTATGAGTTCACTCTTCTACTAAGAAAATGTAAATAAATTGAATTTTGCGTGTTTCCAAATGCAAATCGTTCAAGAATTCATTCAGACGATGAACGTCAAGATTACTACGAAGTAATTTCCTTTTTATAGCTTGAACCACGGCGAAAGGCAAGACAAAAAATGCCACTTAAAGCTAATTTGTTGACAAAATCGATAGATGTTTTAATTTAAACTATGGAGATTTTTTTACATAGTTAAAAAATAAAAATTTAAAAAAAAATATTTTTTTAAAAAGCAATTGTAAGTTATTATAATCAAGTCATGAGATAAACCAGATGCATGTTATAATTTAATTTATCAATGAATTTTATTGATTGTTATAAGTTTGCCGTTTGAAGTTTGAATACACCAAATACATAAAAAAAGATAAATTTGTATTTTTTAGAGGGAATACCTTATATATTATTACATTTTTAGTTTTTTACCATTAAAATTAAGTAGGTTAGGTTATGTTGCTGGGGTTTGGGATCATATTTGATCCCTTACTCGAAGGCCTTGGGCCCATTGCGATACCCCTGTATTGTTTTACCAAACCTTCCTCTCATTCTTTCTTTGAGTTAAAGCACTTCCAGCTCTTTGCAAAGTTCCCGATGTCGCTGATGTTGGCTTCTGCTGCTTCCTCTAGTCCCTCCAAAAAACCTTGCCCTAAAGTTTTAAAGCGTCGGTATTCCAGTGCCGGACAGTCGCACAGCAGGTGCTCTATGGTTTCTTCTTCCTCTCCGCATTCTCTGCAGTAGTCGTCGTCGGAAATTTTCCATCTCACGAGGTTTACCCCCGTGGGACAGTTTCCAGTGACGACACTTACAATTATGCGTACTAGGTCCTTTTTGTGCTCTAGTAATTGTTTTGTCTTTTTGCTATCTACCACTGGCCATAGTCTTCGAGCTGTAGCGCAGTCCTCACGGTGTTGCCACCTCTCTTGCTGCTTGGCTTTGATGGCAGTTCCTTCAACCTCCTTCAGTGTGTTGATCCTCACAAGTGGTGGGTAATAACGTAATAACGAAATCTCCTGGCTCCGTCTTTGGCGAGTCTGTCTGCTTCTTGATTGCCCACCACATTGCTGTGGCCTGGCACCCAGCACAGAGTAGCCTCGCCCCGACGCAGCCAGGACAGTGCTTCTCGGCATTCCATCACAGTTTTCGATCTCACTGATTGCATGGTGATGCTCCTTAAAGCGGCCAAGCTGTCGAGTATATCACTATATCCCCTTTTGGTCTATTAGCAATTTTCTCTCGTATACAAAAAAAAATAAAATTAAGGGAATTTTATTAAAGTTTATGTCCATATATCTTGAAAATAGAAAAATTGTTACTCTAATAGTCATTTATTCAAGTACCTCAAAACACTCTAGTATAATGACCTAAAGCACCAATTCAACCTATATAATTTGTTTTTTAGATGAAATTATTTATGTAAGTTTATTTATATAATCATATATTAACAAAGTGATAATCATATATCTTAAAATTATGCACCCACTTACCAATTATTTTTGTTTCAGATTTATGATGTTGGATGATACCTGAAATAAAGTATTTAACATGGCGGAGAATGTCAAAGTTATAGTAAGATGTCGGCCTATGAACAAAAGGGAAACAGAAACAAATTGCAAAGTAAGTTATTTAGAAAAAGTATCTGAGTGATATTTATTCCTTAAAATGCTAGATATTGTATTAATAATTTATAAATATAGCCTTAATCTTTAATTAATATCATATTAGAAATAGTAACGTATGATCGAAAAAAAAATAGCGTCAAAGACGGCTGGGTAATGACAATTGATAATTTTGGCTAGGTCAATCTCTAGACGTTATTTACAAAAATTGACATAAAACGTGCCAAAATTAACACTAATTTTAGAAAGATTATATACACATATTTACAAAAAATAGTTATTTCTTGTATTTTAAACTACACTATTTAAAAATAATTTTTACTCAATATAAAAATAAATTACAAGCTTCTTAAGGCTAACTGGCAATAAGCGCATTTGGTACTGGCCAAATAATAAGGTCTAGGGCTTGACCTCGCCAAAATTATCATCGATTGTCATTCCCCAGCCGTTTTTGACGCCGTTTTTTTTATCGTATGGTATTATAAATTATACAGGGTTGTTCACCACATACGACACGGAGTATTGTAGCTAAACGATTAGATTTTTACAAATTGTAAGTTTTGGGTTTGTTGAAGGACTATTAGAGCTACAATTTAATTTTTTTTTACTAGATACAGAGTGTCCCTAATAAGTAAAAAATATTATAGTTGTATTTTTTTAAATGGAACACCCTGTATATTATTCTATTTTTCGATTCTGCGATTGAAATAAAGGTAAATTTGGTTAAGATTTATCACACTTAAACCTTACCGTTTTTGAAATATTTTCAATTTTATGAAATTGCAGTAAAAATTTTAAGGCTTCATTTCTCCAAGGGTATCAAAGTTTTTAATACTAAATATTTACTGAAGATTATTTATTGATGAAATATAGTGTTGCAATAATAAAAATTTTACTACCTTATACAGAGTGTCCAAAAATTTATATTAAATAATAACTAGCTTTAAATGGCAATAACTTGTTTAATTTAAATGGTTAAAAAACACCCTGTATATTTTACATGAATCAGATGCACAATTTAATTGTCTATCAAATTTTATTATACCATTTTTACCTATCTCTTCAAGTTTTCGTAGAAATGCATTTTCTTATAATTTAGACCTCATTTATCACTATACCCATGGAATATTGACATTTCAGATTTTTTTAAAGCAACATATGTGTACAGGTGGTAAATATTGCAAGCCCATTGGTATAAAAAAAAACTATTTAAATCTTTGTAAAAGAGTATACGAATTAAATATACCACCATTACTTCCGACTAAAAATTAGTTAATTACATATTTTTAAATTGTTTTAATTAATAAATTATTCTAAATAAATGTCGATTTGGGTCAGAAATCAAGATAATAATAAGTTATGAAAATTAACGTCTCTGTTTTTATAAATAAGCATTCTAATAAAATTTATAAGGTGTTACTTTTTACCACACTGTCTAATACACACACAAAATTCAGTTTTTTAGTATTTGGAGCAATTATTATTAATCAACGTAAACAATAAATTAATGTAGTTTGAATACTGGGATCATATTAATTAATTGGTCCCTTTTAACAAAATATATTTAAACATTTTTTTTATTTTTTAATGAAATAAGCGAACTATATTGACAATATTAGTATCTGTACTCTTTTAGAATTTGTTATGTCTTTATAAATAATATAAAATGTCAATATTCCATAGGTATAGGATAAATGAGGTCTAAATTATAAGAAAATGCATTTTCTACGAAAACTTGAAGAGATGGGTAAAAAATAGTATAATACAATTTGATAGACAATTACATTGTGCATCTGATTCACGTAAAATATACAGGGTGTTTCATTTAAATTAAACAAGTTATTGCCGTTTAAAGCTAGTAATTATTTAATATAAATTTTTGGACACTCTGTATAAGGTAGTAAAATTTTTATTATTGCAACACAATATCTGATCAATAAATAATCTTCAGTAAATATTTAGTATTAAAAACTTTGATACCCTTGGAGAAATGAAGCCTTAAAATTTTTACTGCAATTTCATAAAATTGAAAATATTTCAAAAACGGTATGGTTTAAGAATGATAAACCTTAATCAAATTTACCTTTATTTCAATCGTAGAATCCAAAAATAGAACAATATACAGGTTGTTCTATTAAAAAAATACTACTATAATATTTTTACTTATTTGGGACACTGTATCTTGTAAAAAAAATTAAATTGTAGCTCTAATAGTCCTTCAACGAACCCAAAACTTACAATTTGTAAAAATCTAATGGTTTAGCTACCATACTCCCTGTCGTATGTGGTGAACAACCCTGTATATACGTGATTTATTATTTTAACGTGCAAACACATAGAAAATATTAGTGGTTTATTGTTCCTATATTTACTGAATTTTCTACGATAGGTAATATATTTTCATTTTAGTGTGTTGTGAAAATTCAAAATCCAGTAGTTGAAATATGGGACCCTGGAGATGGGTCAGCTTTTCCTAAAACCTTCACATTTGATTCTTCATACGACCAAAGTTCTTGCACTGAAGTTATATACAATGATATTTGTTATCCTTTAGTTGAAGTAAGTATACGATATTAAATATACAGGATGACTCCATGTCTCCATGTCAATGATAGTTTAGATGCTTATGGAGAACCGGTGATTATTTTCAAAGTTACAGTGTTGTTACTTTATTTTAAAAATAGTAGCATTTTGTTATACTAAGGGCTGGCAAAGGTTAGTCTAGGGTCGAGATTTCCGTATGTAAGAAGAGTACAATGCGTTTATAATGTACTCAACAAAGAGAGGACAGTAAACACGTCGCCAAAGGTATGAAATAAATCGAGAAACTGTGCACATCGCTAAGAGACGTGGAAGGGGATATAGCAGATTTGTCAGAAGTGTCTAGCCCTAGCAGTCAACTATTAAGCTTGACCAATCAGGTTGGTTAGCGTGGTTATTTGAAGGGTGTTAATTCATTTGTGTTTGTCAAAAACTCTAACGTGATTGGTCGGGCTTAATAGTTGCCTGCTAGGGCTAGACACAAGTGATTTGTCGCAGTTGACCGGTCGACCCAATCAATACCTCTGTCAGTACTTAAAGTTCTAGGGAGAGGTGTATTCTTAAAGTTGTACTTAAAGTTCTAGACAGACGCGTTCAGCTTTACGATTTAATTACGTCTCGTGATACTTAATTTGTTTATTTATTAACGAGTCGTTGTAATCTTCCCTATAGCTTGAATTTTTTTAAGTGCAAGCTAGAAACACTTGCATTTTTGGTAAAAATAAGTGGAATTGAGTGGGTGCTCAATAGTGGTTGCGCTATTAGAACTCTGAATTCAAAAATCGATATCTCGAAATCTATTAGAAATAATTGATTGTAGTTTTTTCAAGAACTTTGTTAATATTTTTGCTGTATTTGCTTTGTAGACAGTATGTGAAAATCTTTATCAATAAAAAAATTACACGATTGCTGAAAATTGCTATGCTCTAAAAAAAATGGATGGATTGTTTACAATTTTTGAATGGAAAAAACAACCTTATCGAATGTTTCTTATGTAAACATATTGTAAAATATCCGATCTTGAAAATAAAAAAAAGTTTCAATATCTAAAGTGGTTCTTGAGTTATGGCCTGTTATGTGTTAAAAAGTTGAGTTTTTAAATTATCGCGATTACTGACGTTTTCTCGTTATAAAAAAAATTCAGCCTAACGATATCCTTCCCTTTCAGATGCTCAGAAACATTACAAACCTAATAATTTTATCTAGTTATCTCTTGAAAAAAAGTATTTTAAAAATAAGCGGGTTGCGATCGTGATTTTACTTTACTTGATAGGGAAAGGCGTATCGGCAACGCCGCAACAGCACACCGTCGCGCGTCGCATGGGTGGGGCGCATTTCTCTCACTCCGACTTAATAAGATCCCTATGCGATTTACTTCCACACATGTAAATGCCGACCCAAAAGTAACAGTTGCCAGCACGGTATTAAATGGAACACAATACAATGAAGTCATATGGAAAGATATAATGTAGAATGTAGAATGTTTAGGAGGGGAGTTAATCACCGCGACCTTTCAGATCTATTGTGAAAGATATAATACATAGACAGAGGTAGAAAATATATTTATTTCTCTTTCTTATAAACTTGCTCAAATTTTCGTTATTTGAAACGGTATGTGTATTATTTAAAAAAGCAAAAGACTAGTAAATTTGCTTTGAATCATATCCCTATATCTAAACATTCCGGTTCCTTCAATAGATCCCTTTAAAGACTAATAATTACATTATTATAATTTCTTATCAAGAATTTCTTTACTATAACAATTATAGGGATTTGGCAAATAAAGTTTAATTGATACTTCTAACTTTTAAATATACATGTCATAGTAACGATTTTCTTCATTTTCTAGGATTTTTTTCTTGTTTTATTAGTAGTAAAAATGATATTTTTTGTGTCGAGGTTGTACTTTTGATCTTACAGCCAAGGCAAAAAGTCATTTTTACTCCTCATACAACATGCTATTTTTTTTTTCAAACGCCACTAAATACGCCAACCCAAATAAGATTTTTGAGAATTGTCAAACTCTTGCCAAATTATAGGTTATAATTTTGTGTCAAATAAAGTGTCAAATAGAAATGATAAATATTTTGCATTTTGCATTTTGGACTGTGTTGTTACTTGTGTTTCGTGTTTTTTAAAATTAAGTGGAGGAAACTCGAGGAAAAATTAAGTGTTGACCCAGACCATAGTTTACAGTTAATATTCGGTGCCCAGAGACCGCCAGAAAAACAGTTTGCCAGAGGCTATGGCCAGAGAATTGTATTAGCAACAAATAAAGTTGTATACTATCTCGTATATGGTACCAAAAACTGGAGTATCTGTAAAATAACATTACACGATAGGTAAATAATAAAATTTAGTACTGCAGAAAAAAATTAAGATTAAAGTTAATTAACCAAGATTAGATTTTTTCAATTTAATACATTTTTTTTCACAATATTTTGATGTAATCACTTGTCACCAAAATTTAAATATATTAATTATACGTTCCAATTGTGCCAACTTATTTTTTTGTAAAATAAAAAAAACTACTTTGAAATTAAAATGACAGACACATCTATCATTGTCAAGAATCTTATCGTTGGACAGACTATAGGCGCCAAAATGACTTTTTTATATTGCCAATCACGTCGCAAAAATTAATACTTTTGTGGCGTTTGAAAAAAAAATCAAATTTTTTACCTCTCTGTATGACATCCAGTCGGTTATTTTAGACATGTTGATTGCTTAATATATAACTGAAATTTAAATTTCAATATACTGAAATTATGCTTATAATACTTATTACAAATCATGTCACATATTTTTTTATTAAAAACTATTAGAGATAGAGATAGGACAGTATAATAGAAAAATTATGTGATATGAAAGTAGTTTCCAAAAATGAAATAATGTACCATGATGTTCCATTTACATCAGAGATGTTATTCTTTATCGAATGAAGCAGCAACACTGTAACACCAAAAAAATTTGGGCTGACCGATCTACCATCACTGTGAATCACTCTATACCGGGTGCGTTTCAAAAGTGGCTCACCCCTATAAACTTTTTTATTTTTTAAGATCAACGAGATTTTGTATGTTAGTATATGTCATAAATTAGTATTGATTGACGTATTCAATTGTTTTTGGTCACTTCCTGTTTCACCGGAAATGACTGCAACTTTTGATTTTTAAATAGCACCCTCGGTATATTTCTACTTTGTTCAATAGAAAATGTATTTTTTTACTTTATTCGATAGAAAATGACATTCTGAATAGAATGACATATCATAAGTCAACTTTTGACATTTTCAATCGTATTTAAATTTCAATCTAGAGTGCCATGGCTATGTTAGAAACATTAATTTTTAATCAAGGAGACTTGGAAAAATAGATTTGATCATCTAATGTTTTTAGTGTTATTGGCCGGTTAAAAAATGCCAAAATCGTATATTTAATCATATCTCAATTTTTTCAAATGGAATGAGGGTGGCTTAATAGTATATTTGGAAAAAGCATTTTTTATGAATAGGTAATTTGATACCACATACTTGGTATTTCGAGTCAAATTTTTGTTGTTAACCGCATTGTTATAATTTCAAATTAACCATATGCGAAAATGTCAAAAGTTGACATATTATATGTCATTCTATTCAGAGTATCATTTTCAATCGAATAAAGTAGAAATATACCGAGGGTGCCATTTAAAAATCAAAATTGTAGTCATTTCCGGTGAAACAGGAAGTGACCAAAAACAATTGAATACGTCAATCAATTCCAATTTATGTCATATACTAACATACCAAATCTTGTTTTTTTAACTGAAAAAATAAAAATGTTATAGGGGTGAGCCACTTTTGAGACGCATCCGGTATGTATGTATAATTTCTGAGAAGATATGATTAATAGCATTATAAAAATCAATATTTAAATAGTGTAGGTGTGGATATTTAATAATATGCTAAATATCGAAAGTTAGATATTCTCGAAACATTACTTCGTAAATATTCCCGTATTTGTAACGTTTTTAGTCACGCAAACTCAACATTAGTTTAAATTTTATTCCACCCATAAAAGTGTTTGTATTTAATTATGCGAATATAAGAATGCAAAGTAAACATAATATTTGATGCATTTCATGTTTACTAACAATACCAAAAAACATGTTTATAGTTTCAAAAAAATCGCTTTTGGGAAAAGCAAAAAATATTTTTTGATTTTGTTCGAAGTCATTACAGTTGGGCGTTGGAACATTTGGTGTTACAGCAGCAAAATAAAACACTAATCTACCACAAAACATCAAAACACTTAACTTATTCATTAGTCTCAATCATCTGCTGATGATGCTAACATGGTTATCGAAACGCGCGTCCAATGCATAAGCATAAGGAAAGTGTTTTGGTGTATTGTGGTGAATTACCTAGTACTTTATTTTACGAAGTCATATTACCTTTACTAATGCCCTTTTTAATAAACTCTGTCCGACAAGACAGTGAAAATTCAGAAGACAGAGAAAAATTCAGAAAGTACAATTTACCTTTGTGTTAAAAAAAAACGTTAAACTAAAAAAAATAAAAACATCTGTACATTTTTAAAAAGCCAATCAACTCCTATAGTTCTTTTTTCTTACTTATTAATTTAAACCCTATACCGAGTGCCTCTCGAAAGTGGCCCACCTGTATATTTTTTTTATTTTTTCAGATAAAAAAAACGAGATTTGGTATGTTAGTGTATGACATAAATTAGGATTGATTGACGTATTCAGTTGTTTTTGGTCACTTCCTGTTTCGCCGGAAATGACTACAACTTTTGATTTTTAAATGAAATCCTCGGTATATTTCTACTTTATACGATAGAAAATGACACTTTGAGTAAAATGACATATAAAATCAAATTAAATCAAAAATCTTTATTTCTACAATGATAAATAGTTTTATAAATTATAATAAAATAAATAAAATAATAGTAACCTAATTACCTAATTTATAAATCATACGAGCTCATGATTTTCTGTAATAGATATCAATATAAATATTTACAAAAATAGCCAGACGTAAATCGCTTAAAAAATTTACACCATAGGAATTTGACAATCACTGCAAAATTTTAAACTGCAGGTAAGTGTAAATAATATAATTATTTATATAATATTCATTTAATAAAAGAAAAGGTTTATTTATTTACCTGTTAAAATTTTTGTTTAATATTTTTGATATTTTAACTCATTATTACTACTATTATAGAGATATTAAATTTAAAGAGATATTGAGACACCTACGCGTCCCATATTTTTTTTTAGTTTTAATTTTCTCTTAGAATATAAAATTATAGTTTTTTAATTGTCTTACACCTAAGTAACGATCTGCTAATTAATCCTAATATCTAGGACAAACAATAACGTAAATGAAGGTAAATAACATAAGGTTTATAAAATCTAAAAATATAACTTCAAATGTCACAGGCATACATTGTGCTTCTATTCAAAAATGTGTTGAAAGACGGTTTTGTAATTTTTATAAACATATTTTCTACATTGTAGATTAAATTTATGAATGTATTTTTTATCCCCATATATCAATTTTTAACATTTTTGCTTAAAAAAATTGTATTTTAAATTTCAATCTAGAGTGCCATGGCTGTGTTAAAAACACCAATTTTGAATAAAGGAGCCTTGCAAAAATAGATTTGAACGTCTAATGTTTTTCGTGTCTTGTCCTGGCCGGTTAAAAAATGACCAAACTGTATTTTTAATCATATCTCAATTTTTTCAAATGGAACAAGGGTGGCGCATTAGCATATATGGAAAATGCATTTTTTACAAATAATTTGGTACCACACGCTTGGTATTTCGAGTCAAATTGTCGTTATGAACTGCATGTTTCAATTTCAAATAAACAATATGCGAAAATGTCAAAAGTTGACATATGATATGTCATTCTATTCAGAGTGTCATTTTCTATCGAATAAAATAGAAATATACGGAGGGTGCCATTTAAAAATCAAAAGTTGTAGTCATTTGCGGTGAAACAGAAAGTGACCAAAAACAATTGAATACGTCAATTAGTCTTAATTTATGTCACATACTAACATAACAAATCTCATTTTAATCTGAAAAAATAAAATAGTTATACAGGTGAACTACCTTAGAGACGCACCCGGTATATTATGGACAGTTGCAAATTGTCGCAAATTATAAACAAAAATCGAACAAATGCCAATTCAATACCCGATTTCATGACCTAGATTCGTACGCTTAGTATGAAATGACATATACGTGTATTTTAAATACAATTACGTATTTTATTATTAATGAAATTTAATGATCGTTTTAGAGCGTTCTAGAAGGTTACAATGCCACCGTTTTCGTTTATGGACAAACAGGGTGTGGAAAATCGTTCACAATGGAAGGAATCAAAGGCCCAGATCCCAGTCAAAAGGGCGTTATATCCAGAGCATTCGAGCATATTTTCGAAGCTATATCAGTTACGTCAGGTGTTAAGTACCTAGCGTTAGTGAGCTACTTGGAGATTTACAATGAACAAATAAGGTAATTTTTTCATTGTAGTCTAAATGTACATTTATAAAAAAAATAACATTAAATATAGCCCAGTCAAATTAGAGAAATCGGTGGAAAAAAATCCCACAGTTTTGAAAATGGATTTAAATGATTCCTCTAGACTTGGGCTGATATGTGTCAAAAGTCCCCGAAGATAGACGATAACCTCGAGTAGAGGGTAGGGGTTGAATGTTACTTTTAGGACTTTTTAGCTTATATCTCGGAAAATATGACACCTACGAAAAAATACCAAGGAAATTGAAGCTGAGAAAATTCTCTATAAAATTAAGAATGCATTTTTTTCATAGGTCTAACCTTTTAAGAGCTGCATGGTTGACAAAATTAACACTATTTCTCATATTGTATTTTCGCATTTAAAATGCAATTAAAGTCTACATTTAACTTTTCATATTAATAATGATAATATTGAGGAGTCCTTTAAGTCAACTTTCTAGTCTTCATTGCATCGTGCCTTTTTATCTTCTGTTGGACAGTACTAGTGCACATAGGAAAAAAGGATACTACAGCAATAACCGCAGCTGCAAATACTGTAGAAAGTATACGAAAACCAAGAAGTCGGTTTTGATTCTTTTAATTACACAAAAATATAAAGCAAAATAAATGAACAGTAAACATTGTCCGTATTAACAAATAATTTGCGCAGTCAAAGAGTGATTTATGTGAATGCATCACGCCTAAAATTTATAAAATCACAGTATATATTACTAAAAGTTATACATAATACTTAAAAAATCATGATATCGTACTTCTTCAACGCTATTTGAACGAAAAACGTGCAATGATAAGAAATGTGTTTGTACGGATTTGGATTTTTGATTTAGTATCCAAATTTATGAAGGGCATAGTTCGGAAACCATAAGTCCTGGAAATGAATATAGAATCATTTTTATAGAGAATTTTGTCAGCTTTAATTTTATATATAGAGCGTTTTTCGGTAGATGTCATAGTATCCGAGATATAAGCAAAAAAGTGAAAAAATTGACATTTAACTCCTCCCCACTCCTCGAGCTCATCGTCTATCATCGGGGACTTTTGACATATATCAGCCCAAGTCTAGAGTGTGGTCTAGAGGAATGGTTTAAAACCATCCTCAAAACTGTAAGAATTTTTTCAAAGATGAAACAGGTACCATACAGATTAGCAAAATCAAAGTATTGTAAGCAGTTTTTCCGCAAAACATCCTTTACATTTTTAGCAAGGCATTCAATAACTCGTATCTGACTTTAACTGCAATATTATTTCATTAAAATAAAGTATCTTTCTGTGCAAATATATGTAGACAGTGTACCCGAAAAATACGTGATAACGACCATCAACTACAGTTTTTAAACAGAGACACCGGTCTACAACACTACATCTCTTATAGTATAGCCTTTGAAGCTCAATGAATTTTGTAGCAAAACTTTTTTTTGCAAACTAAGAAATATATTTAAATATGTGTCTTTTGGAAGTGGAACATGAGATGATTTTCTAATTCTTTTTTATATAGGAACCCAAAGATTTTAAGTTTTTGTTCGCATTTTTCTAGCTGATAACAACCCATCATTTGCCAAAGAAATATTTGTCTCGTCGTCATTATCACAATTTCATTCTTTCAAATTTTGCAATTGCATTTCTTTAAGGACATGAATAACACTAGAATTAAAAAAGAAAGATATAACCTCATCATAAAGTCATCAAAGTATGGTTCATTTTTTATGCTTGATGGCTTTGTTGATGGTATATTTCTTGATAAGAAATAAAAACTAATATACAGTACGTCTGTCCGTTCTATAGCTACGGGGTATCCGTGAGAGGGGAAACGATATTCTCTCGATGTTTTTCGTAAAAAATTAGACGACGCGTCTCATCAATAAAAATTCGACAAATTTGCAAGTAGCCAATAAAATGAGTGGGCGGAGCGATTTGCGGTCACGTACTCGTCAAGTCGACGTATAAAATATATTGTTGTTTATTTAAATGCTTTTTGTCCGCATTCCTTTCGTAGACACAGATCCAGCAGACGTACTGTACCTAGAAACACATTCAAAATTATGAAAAAGTTATGAAATAAAAAGTGGTGTTTTTGTTCGAAAAAATTAAAATAATGGATATTACCGATTTTTCAGACGTATACCAGTGGCGGCTCGTCAGGGTAGGCAAGGTAGGCAGCGCCTACCCCAAGATTTTGGCAGAATTTAAGCGATTTATTACATTACAGTATTTACTATTAATGTTGCCAATACATAAAAATACTGTTAATACACGGAAGTGTGTTTTAATAATCAATATTTTAATATAGTATATATTTTAATATTTGTGGTCTTGTATATTAACTAACATATTCACTACCGCTGGCGTACACTGACTGCTGACTGTGCCGCTGCGTTAGAAAACAAAATAATTTTGACCGTTGGAGTGCCTTTGTTCGGCGATTTCTACATCGCCTACTATCAGAGCCGATGCACGACGTAAGGCAGTCTTCTGTCTCTGTCTAACTCATCGTGCGGTAGCGACGCGACGTAAGTCGGATTTGTATCATAGTAAGGCGGTATATCATATATATCGGTATCATATACGTAGCATTTAAAACATTTAAAGCAAATTGGAAACATTTTTTCGGGCTTGTCCGAGATTATTAAAAATGATATAACCGGTTGTATTTCAGAACACGCCACAGAAATAAAAGAATTCGAAATAAAAAAGCGCGTTATTTTATTCGGTGCAAGAAGACGATACAACAGATATTACAGAAAAGTCTCTGTGCTATTTCAATTCGATATGTTAATAAAAGAGGCTAAGTTAAATATCTTTGCGAATTTTATTTTATGAAATATTAGATAACATTGTTATACATTTAGAAATAAGGTTTGCAGATCGGTACTCGTATGTCTCAATTATTTTTATTTATCTCTTGCGGATCCGTAATTTAAAGAATCCTATAAAAAAATTCCAACGCATTTAACATCTGATTTAACAAACTTGTTATATTGATACATTTCCAACGCATTTAATAGTGATTTAACAAACGAAAAATGTTATTGACCAACATAAATTAATGAATAAATTGCAGGTATGATATGAGAAATTGATATGATAATTTCGAGCATAAAATAATTTAAGGAGAATAATGCTGGAAATATATTTCCAGAGGCTTTCAAATTGTTTGTTTTGTTTGTTACTACACCATTTACAAGTACTTGGGTTGAGAGACATTTTTCATGTTTGAAATGCATTAAAATTTATAGTAGAGATTGAAAAATAAACGTTTATCGCCACTTGCCTTACTTTCAATCTAAAAAGATCTTTTCACAGCTCTTCAGCAATCTGATGATTTTACTGATATAATAATAAATAACTTTTCTTTATTAAGAGACCGACTCGTCAATTTAATATATAAAACATAATTATTCTTTCTCTCCATTTTAAGTTTGCGTAAATAAATAAAGATAAAATAAAATTCTATGATGTACTCATCATACATTCTATGATCATACATAGTGACTCCATAGTAATAGATAAAAAATAATAGATAAAATAGATTAATAAAAACAATAAAAACTATACTTGTACATTATGTCAATCATTATGTTATTACGTTGAATGCTGTTATTTTTGCTTTAGTTTTGTCCTAAATATTTTTGAGCTATATTTTAACCCAGAGATAACATATATTTACAAACTGGTCTAGGGTATTATGTAAATTAGGGGAGGGGGGGGGGCAAATAGACGCAACTAAAATTTTGTCGCCTACTCAGACACACAGGTCACGAGCCGCCACTGCCGTATTTTACCATTTACTATGGCAAAAGTAAAAAATCGAAGTGTCTCAGCGTTTATCCAAATAATAAACTGCTGCATTTTAAATGAACCTATTCCAACCCACGCGTCTTTACAAATTTTGAAAGGAAATCAATAGTAAGTTTTTCGATAATAACTGTTATGTTTAGGTAGGTATATGAGTTATACTAAGAATTTAAACATAATTCAAAAGTGAAATAAACACCAAGTAATTTCTTTCGAAAAAATAAAGTTGATGGACATCGTAGTTTTTATGTATTTTCGGGTATCTAATATCCTAACACTTGAACCCCAGACCACCGAATTGTGCAGTTATTATATTCAGTATCTTTATTTCCAAAAAAAATGTTCACTACAGTCGTGATGACGATTAATTTTAATTATAATCGGACATAAAACAACAGACGACAGTAATTGAGTGCTTCAGTGTGTTGGGCGTATAATTTGGGTATTTTTGATTGAGTTGAAGATATTTTGAGGACAGATAACAGGGGATTAGATTAAAACGGTCCTAAAAAACTAGACTAGGGTCAGACGCTTCAATAATCTAGTTTGAATGTGTCCTATATTCTTATCATATTTTTTTGGGTATAAGTTATTAACAGCTAATAATTGTCTTTATTCTGTGGATACTATTTTGTTTGATGGTGTATACCGGGTGGTGCATCGTCGTTGGAAACATAGGAAATCCCATGCAAATTTTGAACTGTCCAGATATTGGCTCCCTATTGATTTTACAGCGAAGTCGTAAATGGATTTTCTACATGTTTATGTGTGTGGTAAGCACACAAGCCAAATTTGAACAATTTTAGATCAGCTGATTTTGAGTAATTTAAAAGAGATTGCATCTATTTTTAATTTAAAACAGGTAAAAATCAAACACTATATAGTAAAAAACTGACATACTTTAGGTTTATAAACTATGATGATGATATGTCAATATCAAAAGTAATTTAATTTTAATATTGAGGGGAAATTAACCGAAACATGTCAAACACTCTGTCTAAGCTATTTCCGCGTAGTACCATTTTATCATGCTCACACTTTTTCTTTATGTGTATAACAATGAATTTTTGCTAGTACTGAATATTAAGATTTTATTAATAGTATATCATTCAACGAGCATATAATGGTGAATAACAGCCATTATATGCGAGTAGAATACTATACTTTATCCAGGACTATAAAAAAATTAGATAATATTAATATAAGTTTTTATTTTTAATGTCAAAAAAATATTGAACGAGTATAACGAGTAAGTGACATGGAAACAAAACATTGAAATTTTCTTTAACTAGGTAGCTAACTAATTTAGCTTTAACTAATTAAAACAAAAATTATTTATTTACATAAATGGTAGTGTTTGTGTTCACACAATGTGACGAGTTTGGATCGAGATATCCGTGGAGGCGGTGAATAATGAAACCATTATTCACTAGTGAATAATGAATATTATTATGATTTCATAAACTCATGTATAATAATCAAATTATAGACGAGTCGTGGAAAAAATTATGTTACGTTTGAAAATGACGCTGACGACTTAAGGTATGTCGGTTTTTGACGGGTGTTTGATTGTTACCTATTCAGTTTTTCTCAAATTACTCAAAATCGGCTAGTCCAAAATTGTTCAAATTTGGCAGGTGTATTTACCATAGATAAACCTTTAAAAATCCATTTACAACTTAGCTGTAAAATCAATAGGGTAGGCAATATCTGGACAGTTCAAAATTTGTATGGGATTTCCTATGTTTCCAATGACGATGCTCCACCCGGTATATGTATATTAAAAGAAATTAACAAACAAAACAATTCTTTTGTCTAGTTTCTTAACCTTAGTACCTACTATCAGCTATTATTCTTTTTTCTTAAAAATAAATTAGCGTTTTCTATTCTGTTTATGTGATATAACCGCTTATAACTAGACTATTTCCTATAAAAATGTCACCTTCCACATTTCACTGTAAAATCTATTTTTCTGATAATTATAATAATTTATATATCTACGTTGTAAAGTGTATGTCAATTGATTTTTGTAAAACTATGTAATAACTGAAAAAAATCTATTTATTTACGTAATAAGTTATTGAGTTATAGTAATAATAATTACTACGAACGTATTATTCGATTCTAATCAATAATGGAATGAATATTGAAGTATTTTTCAGGGTCCTGTAAGAGAATTTTATTATTTAAAATGTACTGCACAAAGAATTTAATTAAAAATCTTTCTCTCAAATTCAATATGTATTTGTCTCAAGTTCTCAACATCTATAACTCATACAGTTATTTATATTAAATTTCATTGGCTAAGAGAAAAACCTTCATCTATAGAGCGTCCAGTAATCATTTCTTCTGCGTCTTGGACGTCGTTTTCCCTAAATCTTGCTTTGGAGTATGCACTGGAGCAACTCATACCTTCCTTGATTCCTCATCATATGGTCTAGATATTGCAGCTTACGGCATTTGACGGTATTGACGAGGTCCGGTGTTGTTTTCATTTGTCTCAAGACCTCGATGTTTGTGACCTTGTCCGTTTACAGTATTCTCAGGATTCTCTTGCACACCTAAAATTCGAGGGTGCCGGTCCAGGTATCTACGCCGCCGCGGCGCGCCGCGCCGTAGAGGAGGACCGGGTTGACATGACATTTTAGGAGTATTTTCTTTATTTCTAGAGGAAAATATTCCTAGAGCAAAATGTCTTCTAAAATTTTATTACTAAAAAAATATAATCCAAAATTATTCAGTAGAATCTAAGCTTTTGTTTCTCAAAAAAATCTTATATGGGTATTTCCCCACTGCAAGAAAATCTACAAAATAAAATAGTTATTTTTTGTAAACACTTCTGCGTTAATCCTAACGGAAACTACTTGTCAGAAGTTAGGTTTACAGATATACAAATTTGCCTAACGAACAAAAAAAATGCTTAACGTTTCGGAAACTTTATCTCTTTCCGTCGTCGGAAGCAAAAAAAATATACAAAGAATAAAGAAAAAAACTATTTAAAATATTTAAATTTAACTATTCAATAAAAAAAAAATTCTGAAACGTTAAGCATTTTTTTGTTCGATAGGCAAACTTGTATACCTGTAAACCTAACTTCTGACAAGTAGTTTCCGTTTGGATTAACGCAGAAGTGTTTACAAAAAATCTATTTTATTTTGTAGATTTTCTTGCAGTGGCGTAATACCATATAGGATTTTTTGGAGAGATGAATCCGCAACATAGGTATAGACATTTTTTACTAAGCTTTTTTTGCAGCTTATGTTTTAACATTTTTTTTATTTAGGGATTTATTAGTGCCAAATGATAAAATGGCTTCAAGTAGCACTCTTAGTTTAAAAGAGACAGCTAACGAAGGACTTACAGTGCCAGGTATTAAAACAGAAAATTTTATTATGATTTCAGATTCTTTAAACTAATATTTTTCAGGTTTAACTGCTCACCCTGTCCATAATGCTCAAGAATGTGAACACTTATTAAACATAGGGTCAAAAAATAGAATGATTGGAGCTACGCTGATGAATCAGAATAGTTCAAGGAGTCATAGTATATTTACTATTAATATAGAACAATTGAGCAAAATTAATAATAATGAGAGTATAAGAAAAGGTACGTCTTCAAATATTATTGGTATATTTTATTGAGCTACAAGCAAATCGTTTTATGCATTTATAATCGATTTTCGATTATAATACTTTTTTCTCTAATATATGCGATGTTTGTGAAATAATTTACAGATATCTAGGTACAGCAAGAGATACAAATATAATTTATAAGTAGGCAGAAATATTTTCACAATACATTTGCATATGATTTACCGTTACTTACTATTTTTGACTTTTTAATTTATCGCAGGGAAACTCAATCTAGTAGATCTAGCTGGTTCAGAGAGACAGACCAAAACGGGAGCAACTGGTGATAGACTGAAAGAAGCAACAAAAATTAATCTATCTTTAAGTGCTCTTGGGAATGTAATATCTGCATTAGTTGATGGAAAAGCCAAGCACATTCCGTACAGAGATTCAAAGCTCACCAGATTGCTACAAGTAAAATTCTCCATAACTATCAAAGAAGAAAATGATTTGATTCTTTCTTGTCTGTAGGATTCATTAGGAGGAAATACAAGAACGCTTATGATAGCTTGCGTTAGCCCTGCGGATAGAGATTACATGGAAACCTTGTCAACTTTGAGGTATGCTAACAGAGCCAAAAATATTAGCAATAAACCAAAAGTAAATGAGGTAAATATTTTTATTTTTTTTTAATATTTTAACAAACTAAGTGTAAAGAATAACGTGAATTTTTGTGAATTTAGAAATAAATTTGAAACAGTTATCTAAATTTTCCCTGTTTATTATTTATCTCAAATTCAAACTAAAAAATTTTAATATCACGTCGCTAAGATATACATACTTGGTTTAATTAGAACATACGAAGTCATACAGCAGATTAACACAATGATACAAGGACATTAAAACATTCTAAATACAATGTTGCCACCATACTTACTTAAAAAATTTTCGTGATCAATTACAAAAGCAATATTTTTTATATTTTATAACTCATTATAAATAATTTTAGGATCCAAAGGACGCTCTTGTAAGACAATACCAAGAGGAAATTGAAAGACTTAAGAGTATGTTAACTTCTCGTCCTGATTTAAACACAGTACAAGTTGTGGACCTAATAGGCTCAAACGAAAACCTTGACCAAATTGAAATAAACAAAAAATTAGAGCTTAAAAATTCAGAATTAGATGCCAAGAGAGATAAATTATTGCAGGAGTATCAAAGTGAAATGGACAAACTGCGAAATTTGCATGAAAGGCAAGAATATATTTGAAATAATATTCTTTAAAAGTATATTTTATTTCAATTTCTAGCGAGAAAAATGAAAAGGAGATAGTCTTGAGACAAATAGAACTGATAAAACAAGAATATGAAGAAAATATTAAAAAACTAAACGAAGAAATCAAAGAAAATCAAAAAAAGGAAATATGTTCGAAAGAAGAAATAGTGAAAAGAATAGAAACTTTAAAGAAAGCCCTTATTGGTGGAGAAAAAGCAAATGATAAAGAGTTATCGGAAAGACGTTTGAAAAAAAAGATGGCGGCAGAAAGAAGAGCAAGGTAAAACATAAACATTTTTCTTTAAAAAAAAATAAAAATAAACTTGTAAAAGCTGTTGTAATCTGTTTTTTCACTATAATTACAGTGTGATAGCTCATCTGCTGGCTAAAATTGATATGAACGAAGATAGAGAATTACTACAGAATCAATATAAAAGTATAAGTCACGAGCTTGATTTAAAAACAGAAGCATTGCGCCGATTCAGGTATAAAGTAAAAACGTTGGAAAAAGATATCAGTGATATACAGAGTGAATTTGAACAAGAGAGGGAGGATTATTTGGAAACTATAAGGAAACAGGACAGAAATATAAAATTGTTAAGCCAAATCAGTCAAAAATTATCTGGAACTTTAAAAAAGGATTGTAATTACAGGTAATAATTTAAAAAAATTTCCTTATATACAAATCCAAGAAAACTATCAAAAAATTATAATCATCATTATAATTAATCATTAACAGCAATCTTTCACGAACATACATAGTTTGTCTAAATGTAATTAGTTAAAATATAGTAGATCACCAGAATTTTAGTAAAATTGTCACAAGGATATAACTAGCTCCAGAGTTACAAAACTACACATGTGTCTTTATTTTTTTAAATCTTGTAATATTTATATTAAAATAATTTTATTATTAAATACTTAAAATCAGGATAATAATACATGTATTTCTGTATTCTAGCAAACTTAAAAAAATAAATAAAATTATTTCATTCGGCAAGCTAAATAAAATGCCGACAATATTTAAACAAATATGTATCATAACCCCAACTATTATGCATAACAAAATGTTCATTATATTCTATAAAATAATTATAATTATTCAAATAATATATTACTTCTAATACGATTATTATTAACGCAGTTCAACAAATTTGAAAATATTCGTACAGAATATTAATTTTGAATACATAACGAGGGTCACAGTGCAGTACCTCGTATCATTTCTGATACGATTTTACAGGAAATCAAAAAACTTACCTAATTTCACATTAAATTATTTATTAGTAATTATTATTACATTATAGAGCCGAAATATCAGTATTACCAAATAAAATATTTTGAATTATCTTTGTGAAAATATTGCCATTTTTTTTAAAAAGTAATATAATATAATATAATTTATTAAAAAAAATTATACGAGGTCCTGCCTTATGACCCTCGATCACGCATGTTACAAAGAATTATTTTTTTATAGTTTAGGGTATGATTTAAAAATTAATTAAAAATGTGATAATATAAATAATTATTTAGTTCTTAATTTATTAACAAAATAAGAATATTGAATCATAATTACATTAATTTGTAAATAAGGTGTATAAATATGTCTGTAAACAGTTTATATTATGACATCTATAACATTTTTATTTTGAAATTGATTTATTACGATCATATCTTCTAAAATTTCTGTTCAAAAAAATGCAACAATTTGAAAAAACTCAGAGACTTCAGAGATTAGTTCTTCTTTACATTTCAATATTGTATAAACTTGAATTTCATGATTAAATACAATTAAAAAGAACTGAGTTTCATGACCCGAACTATTATGAATACCGGACTAGTTATGAATGATACCAATCTTGGTAATAACTCTTTAAAATAATTAAACATTTTAATAGTATCATGCCTGCTAAAGTATAATATTATATTAGCGAATATGCGGTTAACAAATCTCATTAAACCGGGCTGCATACTTTCTAAATTAATTATATTAAAACATATTTTATATATAGCGAATTGACAGTATATAATGAGTAAGTTATACATGAACGAAAACATCTTAAAGCGTAACGAGTTAATTTAATTTCAATACATTGTTTTAGCGATCTAGATTCAATAAAGGAACAAGCAATCTGGTTAGATGACAGTCAAAGATACAAATTACCTGAAGTTGTATATACTAGAACCAAATTACCTCCCGCTGGTACGTATATTTATAATTTATATAATATTAGACTATTCCATAATAAGTCTGTTCCACGACGGATCCTTGACAGCGACAGTCGTTTCTGTCATTTTAATTCGCAAGCACATATTATTTTCTGTCATTTTTTAGATGTCGAAATCTATCGTGACTCGTTGGACAGACTTTATATATAGTTATTAGTATATATTTGTTTTAAAAACCTCTTATAACTTTTTGTAATAAGGAGTTAAACTTTAATACTAATTGTTTTAAATAAAGATGTAATAAATTATATTTAAAGATATAATACAAATATTTGTGATCTACCATATATTAAAATTAAATAATATACTTTTAGAAGAATATGATATTTTAAATATTTTGATGATGCAAATAAATTTTGCAAAACGTTGACAAATTTACAAGAAAAGCTTCTGTTGAGTTTTTTTCAGTCCTAATCCAATTATTAACAAAAAAATTACAGTGTGTTTAAAAAATATATGCCATCTCTCGTGGGGAGATTCCTCTAGTAAAAATAAGATTTATTTTTTATATCAACATAGGTCCGATTCTGCTTTGTTTCGTAGCTACAGGGTGTCAAAGTCTTCATCTTTTTTAGATTTATTATAATTTTCTTCCAAGTACTTTTAGCGATTTGAGGGTAAAAGTTACTATAAATGCGACATATTTTAATGCTAAAAAAGTGTCGACATATTCGCCGGAGAGGTGCATATAATGGGATATGACTAGAATATTTTTCTAAAAAAAAATATGTGCGCCACTGACTTTTTCTTTTGTTAGTCCAATTCTAATTTATTAAAAAACTAAAAGCATTTAATGTCATTAACTTGCCAAAATGTTAAATAGGTACTAATTGATTCCTCATCAAAAAATATAAAAAAGATTATTATACATGGGTGGCGAAAACGCATAGTTCTAAAGTTACAGGATGTTAAAACTTTTTTTAATAAAAATTTTTAATAAAAATTAGTAATAAATTGCATTAAATAAATAATTTATTAATTTTATTTTTATTTTATTAATTGTGATTAATAAAATTGCGTTTATCTCATCTAGGAGGCCGAATTCTACAAAATATCAACATACAACTTTTAATTGATGTTAAATAGTTTACACACTTTTGCTAATGAGAGGAAAAAAAAGTCAGTGGTGCACATGTTTTTTTTTAAATATTCTAATGATAATCCATATGCAGGTCTCTGGTGAATCTATGTGTAGCATTCATAGTAACTTTTACCATCTAAATTTCATTCTAATTGCTAAAAGGAATTGAAAGAAAATTATAATAAATAAAAAAAAATGAATACTTTAATCTCCTGTAACTACGAAACAAAGCAGAATCGGACCTATCTGTGTTGATATCGTGAGGAATCTCCCGACGAGAGATGATGGTACATGTTTTTGTGACACACCCTGTATACAATAGATTATTTAGAATTTCCTTATTATTGTAGTAGATTTTGTTTTACATATTTTACAATAATTATGCCTAGTTTTCTCGAGAGAAAAAATATCATAAAGTATAAGATTTCGAAAGACTCGTCAAAATTACATTTCTAGAGATTTTAAGTAATTAAAATTAATTTGAATAATTAACAACTTCACTAGATGAGAAAAATTTACCACAATTTCAAACCTGGACGTACCTTTTGAATATGGAAAGGTGTTGATGACCACCGGTGGTTTCAGTCGTTGTACTGGTGTCAACATCGACACCGGTGTTCATCTACAACGAATTTTTGTTTCTTTATGTTTTGTTTCGTTTTCTGTTTGTTTTTGATTAAAAGTATAAGAACCGGTGGTTTCAGTCGTTGTACTGGTGTCAACATCGACACCGGTGTTCATCTACAACGAATTTTTGTTTCTTTATGTTTTGTTTCGTTTTCTGTTTGTTTTTGATTAAATTTTTTTACTTTATAATTGTTTATCTGACGCTTCCACTTTATTTTAGTTATCAGTCTGACAAAAAAAATATATATTTAAATTTGAAAGCTTTAAGTTAAAGTCGGTGCGTTTTAATAAACGATAAAAATAAGCACCGATACGACATTATTATTATCAGGTTAATTTTGAACTTCTTAATTAACATTATTTTTAACATATTTCTTTAACCTGGTTAAGGTTTACCAAACACCGGTGTCGATATCAAAACCGGTATCGAGATGAACACCGGTGTTGTAGATGAACACCGGTATTGAAATGAACACCGGTATTGAAATGAACACCGGTATTGAAATGAACACCGGTGTTGGTGTCGACACCGGAACACCGGATAGTCCATATTTGGCCACCGGTGTCAGCCCAGCACCGGTTTTCCGGTGTTTGGAACATACCTATCAAAACTTAGATCACAATAATCTTCATAGGATTTCCGTTGGAATATTTCTTTATAAGTATATTTACAACAAAATTTTAATTTTATATAATAGGAAGATTTTCGGACATACAAACAGCTCCGGCGAGACTAAACAGCGAATTATCTTTGGAGAGCCAAAATTCTCTAGATAAGGTGAAAAGCCAAATATTGTAAAAATGGTGCTTGCTTGTAAAATTCACATCTATCAATTACTTAGATCTATCAAGATTTTTCATCATTATTACCTTTTGCACGCTGCTTTAATTGCACAGGACAAAACCATAATCGGATAAAATCGATCAGCGCCAATTATATACATAACGGAGAGGTAATATTTAAATGTAACAATAGCACAGTGTATATGTTTGAGGCAGATGCCGAATTCTGCGTATGTCCGAAATAATTAGACATATGGCGATTATAATTAAATATACCTCCCTATATCCACAAAGTTACGCGGAAGAGTTTTGATTGCATTGGTTTCAACTTCTATGCGCAGGGTGTTAATCTTTTGTTGTTATATTATGCCAAAAAAATATTAACCCCCTCTGCAAAGAAGTTATATAAATACTATTTATAACCACGAAGTTGTACGCATCTGGCAAGTTTAGTATGGACTAATCGCCATATGACTAATTATTTCGGACATAGGCCGAATTCGGCATCTGCCTCCATCATATACACTACGTAATGCATGTTGTTATTTTTACGATATAATCGATGATTGAAAGAATTGGGAAGATACGCAGCCTAATGGGCAAATTCGTGACTAGGCTGATACTGAGTGATATTTTACATATGAAATAATAGCAAATTGTTAACGATAGAAAATCCGTATTATTAAGGTACTGTACCCAAAATCCGTAAATCTACGGAATAATCCGTAGTTCTGGCGACACTGCCTCCGGCAATCAACCACTCTGTCGACTAAAAGCAGAACTACGGTACAGTATTCTTTATCCACTGCGCCGTAAACGATTATCAGCGCGCAGCTGCGCAGAGCTGAACTAAATCTCGGACAGTTTGACTAGCGGCGACGGTATCGCCAGCTACATCTCGGACAGGTTTTGTGCCACGAAATCGCCCATAAGGTTGCGCATCTTCTTATTTCTTCAATCAACAATATAATTCATTTTAACAGTAAACTATTTTAAATAACTAGGTATCTTCAATAAAAGCCCTATAGGTATTTCGCAACTTGCAGTGTAAGAAAATCTCCAAAAAAGTTATTTCTTGTTAACACTGCTGCGTTAAGCCAATGGAGACCAACTTTTCAGTGGTGGTTTACTAATAAAACAAATTTGCATAATGGACAAAATAATGTTTAACGTTTCGGGAACCAGTGGCGGATACAGAGGGGGGGCCCATGGGGCCCGGGCCCCCCCTAAGATCTATAAATTGGGTTAAATCTTAAGCTTTTCGGTTAAAAATGGCGCCCTAAAAAGCACATTCTACATTACTTTTTATTTTGGGCCCCCCCCTAAAATAAATTCCTGTATCCGCCCCTGTCGGGAACTATTCGTCGGAAACAAAAAAACACCAAGAACAAAGAAGAAAAAAACATTTAAAATATCTAACTACAACTATTCAAGAACACTTTAGTTTTTTTTCTACAGATACGTCTATAAAAATGTTGAGGTTCTGTTAAAATGACATTATATTAAGTAAAATATGTATAAGTAAAACTTAATTTTAATTAATATTACTACCTGCTAAAAATTACTTAATGAGGTAAAAGTAAAACCAGGTATCTGCAGAAAAAAACTAGTGTTCTTGAATAGTTGTAGTTAGATATTTTAAACAGATTTTTCTTTATTCTTTGTATTTTTTTGCTTCCGACGACGGGAAGAGATATGCTACATACTACCCGTGGCAAATACCCATAGGACTTCTTTGAAGACATGAATCCGCCACGAGGAATAGACATTTTTTAACTAGATATGTTGAAAAGCACTATGTTATGTTATTAGAAATTAAGCACTTGCTGTTAGATTCGACAATAATATTACCCTGCTTAGTTCAGTGGCGGTGCATGCGGTTTAATTCCAAGGGGGTGCATGACCTTGGGAAAAATTATAACGCAACCACGACCAAAAAGAACTCTTTTTGGCTACCAAATCGTCAATCTAAGATGCAAACTTAAGAAGCTCATTTTATTAAAAAAATGAGAACTAAAAATGCTGGCTACTAAAATGTATTATCCTTATATTGCACTTATTTTATATAAATTATACAGGGTGTTTCAAAAAACATGTGGCATCTCTCGAGGAGAGATTCCTCTCGTAAAAATAATATTTATTTTTTATATCAACGTACGTCCGATTCTGCTTTGTTTCGTAGCTACAATCGTTAAAGTCTTATTTTTTTTCTCATTTATTATAATTTAAATACAACTTTTAATCTTCATTAAATGGTCTACACAATTTTGCCAACAAGTGAAAAGAAAGTCAGTGGCGCACATGTTTTTTTAAATATTCAAGAAATAACCCATACGTCCTTGATGAATATGTCGACACTTTTTTAGCATTAAAAAATGTCGCACTAATAGTAACTTTTACTCTCAAAATATTTCGTAAATATACTCTCAAAAAATTCGAACCCCTAAAAGCACTTGGAGAAGGAAATTATAATAAATCGATAAAAATAGACTATAATCTACTTAGCTACGAAACAAAGCAGAATGGGACCTAGGTTTGTTTATATAAAAAATAAATGTTATTTTTACGTGAGGAATCTCTCCACTAGAGATGGCACATGTTTTTTGAACACAATTATAGGTGTCTATCTAATACATATTTGAAATAATCATTTGTATTAAAAATCCTGTATAAAAGGTACAAAAGAAAGTATGTATTTATAAAGAAATATTAATTACTTCCTAATAAGTATATCTTTCTTTAAACAATTTTTTTTATTACATACATAAAGACTTTTTTATGATTTTAGGCCAACTCTAATATGGAAAAGGAAAATATTATAACAAACTATTTTAAACCGGCTACACAAAGAGCAAATGAATTACTCAATCAATCGGCTAAATTAGATACACAAAAAGTATTTAATACATGGAGAGGTAAGTTTTTGTAAACAAAAAACAAAACGTTAGGCAAATCATTAAATATATGAAGTTCATTTGAATTATTTTCTGGAGTAATTATTGAACATTCTCATATTTAAAAAATAGACTTTGATAATAATAGTCAAAAAAACTTACAAAAATACACTTTAGGTTGGAACTTAAATTAAACATTTATTAAAAAACTCAACCTAAGTAAAATATCATGTCTTCAGGTTAAAACATTTTGTAAACTGTGGGTGATGTTATGATACTTATCAGTGAAACATAATATATTGAGTTGGTTAGGTTAGTTAATATACATTTATTAAACGTATATTGCTCTATTGTGGTCAATTAGTGTAAACAAATCTATTTATTAAGTATACAGTATAGTATTAAACCACATAAGAACTTTAATATATCTAATGTTTTGCCTATATAATTTGTGAACTTGAAATATAAAAACCTAAAGAAAGGCCACACTTTACTTCCAGATTTTGCGAAAAGACACAAAACCAGATCAACAGAAAATCTGAATTTCGATTATCCATCTTTAAACTCACCAAACACTTTAAAAGGATTTCAAAGCCATTGGCTTACAGGAACAGGTAAAAGTTATAGCCGATATGTGACAAAAATATAATAAATTAAGCTTGTTTATACAGGGTCCGGTAAAAGTACGTCGGGCATCTGTAGCTCCTACAGTAAAATACTTGAGAATTTTGTTTAAGTGCAAACCCAAAGTATGTACGAGGATGTATTTCAGGAAAATATTTTAACTTGGATTGAATGTGTGGATTATGATGATTTTTTTAAATGGAACACCCTGTATATTATTGCATTTTTGGCTTCCTTTCAGATCACTTTGCATCATCCTAAGATATGAATAAAATATTTCCATAATATCAGTTCATCATATATATATAAGACGTTGTTATATATATATATATATATATAGCAGTATATATATATATATATATATATATATATATATATATATGGTATATATATGCCACAGAAACTGTCTTAGGTATTTACTTCAGATGGTCTATATTTACTTTGCTATAAATATCGTAATCTTAAATCATACAGGGTGTTCAAAATTCTACGCCAAACTTTGTAAAATATAAAATAATTTTTTTAATGAAACGCCCTGTATATTATTTTTTTACTAGATGGAGAGTTAAAAAATAAATCTTTTGTATTTAAAAGTATTTCAACATTTTTAATGGTTTCAACTAACTACTTTCAACTACGTTTCATTTAAAAAAAAATATCAACCCAATCCATTCACACTTTTTTGAGCCATCCTATAGAAGTTTAAATATTTTCCTCAAATACATCACAGTAGATATTTTAGCTTTGAACTTTGAATAGAATTCCCATGTTTTTTATTCTAGGAGCTATAGATGCCCGATGCACTATTGCCGAACCCTGTAGGTATATGATTGAAAATATGCTATTTATAATCATAATCTTTTTGTCCCCAAAATAATACCCTGTGATAAAAAAACGGCGTCAGCGATGGCTGTGAATTTTTTTTTCGATCATACGGTAGTTGTACTGATTTATCTCTCATATTTTAATTATGATTGAAATTTAATTACACTATCCACCAGCAGTAGCCAAATGTCTGCGGCGCTAGTAAAATGATATATTATTAATCTAAGAGTAAAACAACCTTATTAAAACTGATTTTAGTTATTCTTTTTCAGGCACATCATTACATAAAGATAATTTAAAGAAACCATTTACCTTAGAAGCATTGCCGAATATCGGGAAACCAAATAAAAATGTTAAACTTAATACAATGGAATTTTTGTAAACAAACAATTTACCTAAATTGTGATAATAGAAAAATTTATCAAGAGTTATTTATTTATAAAACTTTATAAAATTATTGATATTGAGAGTATATTGTAAAAAATTGTTATAATATTGAGTTATGTTTACATTTATAGATCAACATTACTCTAAAACTTTAAATAAGGTGTGATACTTCTATTTTGTTATAAATTGTTATATTTTATGTAAATAAACAATTCTAAAGAAAAGAAATATTGGTTTCTATTATTTTATATTAACATTTTTACTATAAATGTCTAAATACTGTACAAAAACATGTATTCTTTTTAAAGTATAATTACACATTTTATATATACATGTGTACAATTTTTTTAACAAAAACAATAATCACAATTTTGTTACTATTAAATATTGAACAATCCGAATCAGCAATTAATCTAATCCAACTCCAAATTTTAAAGTTTGACTTTCCTTTGTAGTATCATGTTCATTTTGTAGTTCAAGTGCCTTTGCTTTATATTCTTTGGCTAAAGTTTCATTTTTTTCAGTACCATCGCCTTTCGCATACATCTGACTTACATTTGCACAACTATACATATTACCGAGATTACAACCCTCCAACGCATACTGGAAGGCTTTCTTCATGTTACGAGGAACATCAAATTCTTTTACAGATTTATCACCTACTTTATGTCCATTTTTGGCTCCTGTTATATAAAGTCCTGATAAATAATAACAAGCTACACCATTCAGCCCGGAACAAGCCTTTTCTAACAAATGTAGACCCTACAATTATTGTTTAAATTAGGTTTTGTTTTTAATAAGTCAGTAGTATAAAAGTAACCTTTACAATATCCTGTTTCAATCCATGTTGTTCATTCTGTGTTATAAGTAAAAGACCTTGATTGAAACAAGCACTTGGTTCATCTAAATTACATCCTTTTTCATAATAGTCATATGCAGTGTGATAATTCGCTTTTAACCCACCCTTACCAATAAGACTATAACCTCCGTATTTTAAACAGCTTTTTGCATACTTGTATTCATCGCAATTATTTTTATAGACTTTTCCTGCTTTTTCATAGTCCTTTTTTATTGCCTCTAAGAAATCCGCCAGTAAATGACAAACTGAAAAATGAATTTATTTAAGAAGTAAAATTTATGATCATAAATTACTAATATTGCTAATATAACAATATAGGTATTTAATTTAATACTGTTTTAGATATTAAATAAATTAAATAAGCCATTGTACACACTATTCAAATTACCTTCAGGTTTTTTTTCACTGTAACATCCAAATCTGTATTCAGTTCCTAAATTTTGAACATACTGTTTTACTTCACTTTCAGATTGTAAGTTGTAACCCATTTTTTATTTGAAAAAAAATTATTAGGACTTATAAAACATTACGAATTTTTTTAATATATAAAAAATTTAAGGTTAGCCGGCCTACTTCTTCTCTTTAATTTGTCCCGCTGCAGCTGCCTTATGACAGTAGAGGCAGAGGTTGGGTAGAGATTAGAGATGGGCATGTAAAAACGAATATAAGGAAGAAGGTATTTTTACGTGTAAAAAATAGAATATTCCATCTTGTATAAAATATCAAGTTTTGGAAACCCTAAAAATATATGTATATTGGACCCCCATAACACCCTTCCTTCATTGGCCTTCATACAGGGCCTATTTTACCATAAGCCCCGGGCCTTGGGCCGGGTGGTCTAGGGGGCCCGTTAAAGGTTGTAAAATATTCATAATTTCTTGAATTTTTGAATTTTATTGGAAAAGAGGGCCCGAATTATTGCTTGGGCCTTAGGGCCCGACCAGATGAAAAATAGACCCTGCCTTCATATACCTGAAGATTTAGACATCATCAACATCATTTAGCCTGCCTATGGATTTGTTTCTAAGTGATTTGGGTAATACCGTGATTTGTTATTGCTTATAAATCACAAAATTTTGAATATCGATAGGTGTTATAAGGGTGTAATGGTATAATCATAGGTGTAATTATTGTAATTGCTTATTACCACAGCTTATTACATCCAATGCGCACCAGTGACGTCACTTTGGGGCTTGTTTAGATCTGGTTTAAACAAGTGAGTAAGTTTATTCCTAGGTTAAAACTTGGTTAAAACTCTGAACTGACATTCATTTCAGTGTTATTTCAGTAGAAAACAGCTACGATTACAATATCTACGAAGGGGTGTTTTAATAATGTTTAATTTAATAATTTATTAAACTAAATTATTACCACATTACCTTGATAATATACAGGGTGTCCCCGAAATCAGTGCAAGAATTTTAGGGGGCGGTAGATCTCGATAAAAGAAACATATTTTCTCTTTATCGTTTTTCAAATAAGTCCAAAATAATGGAGTTATTTTACTTTGAAAAGTTCAAAAAAAAGTTTTCTTGCTCAAATTTTGAGAACCACTGGATCTTTTCTGGATTTTCTTTCTTGTAAATTTAATATTATATTACCTATGTTCCCATTTTATCAAGAAATTATGCTTTTTAACTAAAAACTAAAAAAAAATCCAAACTTCTTTTAAAAAAATTCCGAATTTAAAAAAAAAAAAATTTCGCGAAAAAAACCTCAGAGGCCTGTTTTTGGGGTTGAACTATACTACCAGTTAAAATACTTGCACTTATTTCTGGGACACCTTGTATAATACAGTATGAGCGAAAAAAACGGCATATAAAATGAGAGCGATTTTCATTTCATAGCCATCGCTGACAGCTTTTTTTTCGATCGCATAGTACAACCATTGTCTATATCATATTCAAGATAATTATCTTATTATCACAAAATTTAACAAATTTAAAAGTTATTAAAAAAACTAAAGAGAAAACTGTAATTCTAATAATTCTATACTGTATACTTTTAATTATTAATCAAATTAAAATCTTTAAAAAGATATCGTTCGTATATACGTCATAAAAAACCACGTGTTTTGATCTAATCCTTTGATCTAATCACATATAAAATGGGCACATGATTATTTTTTTTAAGAAATCATGCATGCTTATTAGATATTATACATATGTATTAATTTTTACTAATTAATATAAATGCTGCGCAAAATGTTAATGGAAGCTAGATTTTATATACAAAACAAAAAAATTATTTTTAGTTCAAAATGTAAAGGAACCGTCTGTAAATATCCCAAAATAAATTTACGATATAGGCTGTTCTAATTATATATGTTTAAGCGTATATTCTGATAATATCATAGAATTATAACAATATTCTACCTGTGATTCTACTTAGTACAATAAGTCAAACACGCAAAGGGCAATTAGTGTTTATACGTAGTTGTATCGGTTGTATATCTAAAATAATACTCAGTAATAAATTTATTAAGTACTCATTTATACGAGTATAAAAAAAAGCATTCATGTAAAAAAGTTAAAAGAGTTAAAAAAATTTAAATTAATTTCCTATAATAATTATTTATCTTTTATTATGCAAAAAGCACTTGCTATTAATTTTGATAATATCGAATATTACTATACCATCAAAAAAGACGCTGTCAAAGATGGCTGGGAAATGACAATCAATGGAAATTTTGATCAGGTCAAGTCCTAGAAGCCATTTCTTAGCCCGTATTTTTCTTTGTCTTTTATTGGCGCTTACAGCCAGTTGGCCTTATTATAAATTATAGGGTATTTTATTTACAAAATAAAATAAAAATGATGCTACAAAAATCTAAATTATTTAAAATACATAAATAAACAACAAATATTATAAATTAAAAGTATTATTCCTTTTAATTTATAATATTTAATTTGATTAATATTTTCTATATGCACCGCATTTTGTTTTTATGAAAACAATGGGAAATGTTGTCAAAAGCATCACTGTATACTTTGGCTACCCTGCAGTTCGAAAGAAAGAAAATTACGTGTTTGGACCTTTTCCAAGATATTTTCATACAGTTATTTTGCGAAATTTACCAAGGTGATCTGATAAGTAATATTAAAATATCCCTATCATTTATTTTGCGTTTTCAATCGAGTATATTACAGACAAAATGTACTTTTAAGATTGTCAGTAACCCTAAAGAATCTTAAAAAGTCAATACGGTCATTTATTAAAATGACAAGAATTCTAAAAATTTTTGTAGTCTGTAAGATTTTGACAGTTAGATTGAAGCGTTTTATGAAAATAATTTTGGGTCTTTCGCCACTAGAAAGAAGAAAATCTACAAAATAAATTATTTCTTGCAAACACACAGCTGCGTTGATCCAATGGAGATCAATTTGTCAGTGGTATTTTACTAGAACAAATTTGCCTAATCGACAAAAAAACTTTAGGGAGGTACATTTTCCTCCCGTCGCGCGTCGTCAGAAGCAAAAAAAAAACAAAGAAATCAATTATTTCATATACCGGGTGGTGCATCGTCGTTGGAAACAGCAAATGTTGAACTGTTCAAATATCGGCTTCCAGATTTTACAGGAAAGTCGTCAATAGATTTCTTAAAGGTTTATGTATGGTAAATACAAATTTATTTAAGTTATTAAATACAAATCTTAAATTTGAACAATTTTGGACCAGCCGATTATGTGTAATTTAAGAAAGATTGCATCTATTTCTCTATTAAAACCGAACAGGTAACAATCAAACACTAGTCAAAAACCGACATACCGTATGGTGCGTTTAGACTTGAGCACGCACGCACTGAGCCGTCTGGTGTCGGTTTTTGGTCCGTGCTCAAAGGGATTTTATGTGTGCGCGAACGCTCAGTTTGGACCGGTAATTTGTTTTGTCTGCGTTCGTGCGTGCGTGTGTGATTTTTTTTCGTTTTCTTTATTAAAATTATAGAGTGGATCAATGAATCTTCGTTATTATTAATTGAAAAATATGAAAAGTTGCCTATATTATGGGATGTTAAACATTCTTTGTATTATTAAAAAATCAAAAAAAATATAACGCATGGTAAAAACTTATAAATAAACTTAATATTGAATATGTCGATATTAATGAAATTGCTATTCTAAAATTTGTATCTTTTGTTCGTAATTTTTGGTGTTATTAAATTTTGTAAATATTCAAAGTCGGGCCTGGTCATTCTTGTAAAGTTTTTAAACTGATCATAGCCCTCCTCAGACACTAAGTTATTGCAGTAAATTATATCGATTTCTAAAAATTTGGGTTTGCCACCAGCGGCGATGTTTTCGATTTTTTTTCTTTTTAATAATTAAGCTGTGCATATCAATGACTGCAGCCTCGACTATTTCTTGGTCGTCCATTATTTTCGCCAACACAACTCTACTATGCGCGCACAGATGGATCACTTCATTCGTCGAAAAATAAGCTTTTAATTTGAACGGAGCCCAGAGCGCGAACGAAAGCCGTGCGCGCACGCTCAGCTCGTGCATGCTCAAGTCTAAACGCACCATTAGGTTTACAAACTATAATTTTGTCATTGTCAAATGTCACTTAATTTTAATAAAATTTTTAGTAATCAGCGGCAATTAACTGAAACATGTTAGATCATACAGTCTAAGCTATTTCCGGGCGTAGTACGATTTTCGCATGCTAACTTTTTTATGTGTATAACAATAAACAATTACTAGTACTGGATATTAAAATTTTATTAAAATTAAGTTATATTTTAAAACGATCTTCACAACTTAAGGTATGTTGATTTTTGACTGGTGTTTGATTGTTAACTGTTCAGTTTTAATTTAAAAATAGATGCAGTTTTTCTCAAATTACTCAAAATCGGTTTGTTCAATATTGTTCAAATTTGGTATGTGTGTTTACCAAACGTAGGCCTTTAAAAAATCTATTTACGACTTACACAGACAATACAGTAGTACCCAGCACCAATTTTAAGCATCAGGAAAAAGTGATATAAACAAATATATCTGGAGAATCATTCTCAAATGAAAAATGAAATCTGCAGAATCATTCTCAAACTCTTAAGGTGCGTACTCACTAGAGCATTTTGGTCCGAACGAACTAAGCGAGCCGAGAGCGCATGAACGAACTGAATAAGGAGAAGATCGCGAGTGCTTGTTAAGGTGCGTATTCATTATCCGAACGAACGAACGAATGTTCATTCGTTCGTTCGTTCGATAGTAGTATGGACGGGACCGAATTTTAGAACCAAACGAAAGGTCAACGTTCTGCATCGAGTGTGTTAATGGACCCGGAAGATGCTATTATCGCTGCTGGTGCTTTTTTACGAAACATTACCAATAGGGAAAAGAAGAAAACATCAAGAAAATTATGGGCAAGAAGTTTGTTTTTACGCCGTCAAAACTGAAGGCTACTGAGAGATATGGATAGTATATAGTATTCATCTGAAAAATTTCACCAGAATGTCGGCAGAAGACTTGTATGCAAGAAAAACTAGTATGCCTTGTGGGACCTAAAATTGATAGAACAGATACACAGTTTCGCAAAGCTATACCCGTCCAAGATCGCTTAGCTATTACATTACGGTTCTTTGCTACCGGAGACTCATATATACAAGTTTACAATATCTATTTAAGGTTTCAAAACAACGCATTGGTGTAAAAAAGTATATTTTAGTGAACGTAATTAATTGCACGATTACTAAATCCTGTTTTTTATTTAAATGGATAATTTTGGCATGTGTCAAACTTTTAATTTCTCGTTGTCTTCTCAATATTCGTAGTTTGGTAATTTCATTAATTTTATATGCTTACCTGAGTTAGAAGTAATTAGTATCATTAGTGTACCCGAAAATGCAATGGTTCAGTTGCTGAAAACATTTAAAAATTTGACACATGCCAAAATTTTCCATGTAAATAAAAAACAAGCTGTAAAGCCTGTTTTTTTTAAATAAATATTTGACATTTTTCACGTGATTGCTTCTTTACAGCTAGGTTAGAAATCATGTGACATTTGCCAAATCATTCCATTAAAAAAACAAGGTGTATCGTTATATTCGTTATAATTTGTGTAAATGTACCTTTTCCTGTTCAAATAGATTTTTTTTCCTTTCGCCTTCTCCCATCTGAAACTTGTCAGAAGACTTTCAATTTTTTTCTTTGCTTTTCCAATCTGCCTCCACGCATCAAACTTCTTAACTTTATTATAGTATAATCCATTCTTTGGATTCCAAAGCACTGGATATTGTTCATAAATGTCTATTAACTGAAGGCACTTTTCTCTATTCCACTCCATTTCGTTTGAGCAAAGAAAAATCAAAACAATGGAAATTTTTAGCCGCGAATGCTCCGAATAGGACGAACACCATGAACGCAACGAACCTCCGTACCCACTGAACAACGCATCCCCTTTGAGCAAAATGCATGTACCGACAAGCCGGCGAAAATGCTTGGCGCGCTCGGTTCGGTGAAATTTTGCTCGCGAGCACGTATTCACTTGCCGAATTCGGCTCTGCGCGCTCGGCTCGTTTGGTTCGTTCGGAGCAAAATGCTCTAGTGAGTACGCATCTTTATACTGGATGCTGTGCACGCTCTGTTAATGAACATTCAATACAGTTCAAGGTCTATATCTGTTTCCTATACACCTTCCAGTAAGCATTTTTAACTGATATATTCATTAAGCTCCCGTATTTTAAACTATACATGAAAAATATATTTATATGCATTGAGACAAAGCAAACCATTTCTTTGTCTTTACAAATATTATTTATATAAACAAAAATAAACAAAATGGAAAGAAAGACCTTGTGATGGGAGTACGTATCACAGGATTTTAGGCTAAAGTATCATACGGTCAGTTGCTGCAAAATCCTGGGTATAAATAGAAACTTTGTAATTTTACAGACGTTGTTTGACGTAGAAACCAGAGAGAAAAAGTGCCAGTAGATATTCGCTTGGGTTTTAGTTAGGTTTCCAGACTTGTGTTGTTTTGATTTACTTACCTGTCACAACATATAAAGGGGATTTGGACTGAACAAGGGAAGAAAAAAATAAGTGTTGTGTTTAGTTAGCGATTTCAGTGTAAAAAGAGTTCTTGAAAAGAAAGGTAGGAAAATAAAGTTTTTCGAAAGATTTTGTTTGTACAGTTTTTATAGTTGTGTAATGTTTTGATATTGCACCAATGCAATATCGTTATTACCTATGCTAATTCTTTTCCTTAATTTTAATTAATTATATTTATTCTATTCTTACCATTCATTCATTTTATGTTATTGTTATAAATGTGATCAGTAGGTATCTTAATTATGTAAATGCATTGTACTGCAATTGTTTCTTGAAACTTTGATTTGAGTTTTTGCAAGAATTGCAAACTGACGTTTCATATAAATACGTAGTTACTTAAATTTTATATAAGCATCTACGCAGTATCTATTTAAATATAAGAGTTTCGGTTAATCTTTTATTAAACTTTTGTTAAAATATATTATTTATAGTAATTGATTTCGTGATTATTATCCTTGGATCCAAAAATTGTTTAATCTATTTATAGACTAGACATTTGTTTGCAATATTTTTCGCTTCTATAATTTTATCTGTAGAAAATAGTATATTTTAGAATCATTGATATTAATGTTATTATTATACCTACATGTCCATATATTTTGAAGTTTTGAAGTATATTTATATATGCAAGTGTTCAGTTAACTGTTCTCGTTATCTGTATACTTGCCTTTATTTTGTATGTTTTTATGTTCTTTTTATTGAAGTGAAACGTCTTTACGCGCGCTGGGAGTAAAAATTCAAGGCTGTGACACACAAGCTAGCGAGACGGCCGTGACAGACGAGCACGAGACGAAAAGTGGTAATAGGACAGTCTACGGCTTAGAAATACGTAGTGACACGACGTGTATTTGTGAGCAGCCCACGTGTTTATCAAAAATATTGATAGTTTAATACAAATTTTGTGAAAGAGAATCAAGTTATTTATTAAATTTTTAATTTATTACTTTCTCAACATTTCAAACTACATTTTTTTAAACATGTCCTTCAAGTCCTTCAATTTAATAGCTGTTAGTAAGGAGTTTCACTTCAAATATGGGCACATAGTACACATAAAATATTAAGATATTTAATTAAATTACTAATTCGCGGGTATATATTGTATTGTACGAAAAATGTTATAATTTTTCTAAAACCGTGCATTGTGCCATTTTACGTAGTATTCGATTTAAATTAATCGACTGGCCTATACTGATTGTTTTATGCACTTGTTTTTATTTACCATTTTGTTCAACAACGGTTAAAAATAGAGAATGAAAAGCGCAACTGCTTACGTTCAATGTGAACCTAGAACTAAACGTAAATCAACTTGTTAGCTTGTATTTTGCTTTCCTATTTTTGTTGACTTCGTATTTACTCTATATTTTAGATTTAATTCGTATCACTCAACAGAAGATTCGAGTCAGGATAGTTATTTCATTGAGGAAGATTGTTACGTTTATAGTTTTTTTGATTTATACATTTTAAATTTTCATTCAGAAATATAGAGTATGTTTAATTTAGTTTCATACAAACATCATTTGTACTTAACCAAGATTTATGTAAGTATAAAACTATCATAAGTTTGTAATAAATTTTGTAATACCTATTATTTCAAGTATTGTTACCTTATCTTAGTTTTTAATGATTTTCAAAACTTTACTTTAGGGATCTAAACGGTTTTAGGTCATCATCATCTTTAATTCTCAGCTTATTCAACCATTTCCAATCATGGTATAGCCTCCCTCGTATACTTTCTTTGTAGTTGGGCCAATTGTTGTCTATTGTTGGCTATGCGGGACCAAGTTATCCCTGCTAATTTCTTAATATCATGGTCCCATCTCTGGTTCGGTCTTCTTCTACGTCTCTTAATTCCTCGTGGATATCATGCTGTAATTTTTGTGGTCCATCTGTTGTCCGTCCTTCTTGCCAAGTGTCCTCATTGCCACTTGAGGGATTTTTGACTCTGTGGATGATATCTATTACCTGGGCTTTTTGTCGTATCCACTCTGCTATTTTACGGTCTTTCTTGGTTATTCTCAGCATATTTTGTTCCATTGAGCATTGTGCGACCTGCAGTTTCCTTATAATATCCCTTTTAAGAGTCCAGGTTTGAGATGCATAGGTCATGACTGGTAGTACGCATTGGTCGAATGTTTTCTTTTTTAGATAAAGTAGCATTCTACATTTAAATATGACTGAGTTTCTTTTATAGGTACTCCATGCTAACTTAATTCTTCGGTTGATTTCTGGTAGTAGAGATCGCGATCTGTGTATTAGTTGTCTCAAACTATTGTTCGTTGTCGTCAAATAATACCTCTACATTTTTTTACTTAAATTTGGCATTGCTTCAGTAATGAATGTTGTGTTTGGTTTGGTTTGGTTTTGGTTATTAAAATAATAATATTTCCAGTTTTGTATTATTTATTAAAATGTATTTTCTGTTTACAAGTTCGTTGGACATTACTTAAGTTTTTGCTAAATTTATTTTGAGACCTACTTTATTGCTGGCTGTATTTAGTTCGTTAATTTGTGTTTGTAGTTGTTCAAGACTGTTGGTTATTAGGACTATGTCATCAGCGAATCTTAGATGGTTAAGATATTCTCCATCAATTTTTAATTCTTTGTTGGTCCAGTCTAGTTGACGGAATATTTCTTCTAGTGTCGTACTTCTAGTCGGTAGTCCTTGTTGGAAACTTTGAGGTTGTTTTATATATCATTATTTATTTACGCGATATTATGCGTAAATTAAAAAAATACAGGGTTGTTCACCACATACGACGCGGAGTATTGTAGCTAAATGATTAGATTTTTACAAATTGTAAGTTTTGTGTTCGTTGAAGGACTATTAGAGCTACAATTTAAAAATATTTTTACAAGATACAGAGTGTCCCCAATAAATAAAAAATATCAAAGTTGTATTTTTTTAAACGGAACACCCTGTATATTATTACATTTTTAGTTTCTACGATTAAAATAAAGGTAAATTTGATTAAGGTTTATTACACTTAAACCTTACCGTTTTTGAAATATTTTCAATTTTGTGAAATTGCAGTAAAAATTTTAAGGCTTCATTTCTCCAAGGGTGTCAAAGTTTTTAATACTAAATATTTACTGAAGTGTATTTATTGATCAGTTATTTTGTTGCAATAATAAAAATAATACTACCTCATACAGAGTGTCTAAAAATTTATTTTAAATTATTTGTAGCTTTAAACGGCAATACCTTTTTTAATTTAAATAGAACGCCCTGTATATTTTAGGAGAATCAGATGCACAATTTAATTGTCTATCAAATTGTATTATACCACTTCTTATCTATCCCTTCAAGTTTTCGTAGAAAATGCATTTTCTTATAATTTAGACCTCATTTATCAATATACCCATGGAATACTGATATTTTAGATTGTTTTTAAAGCAACAAATGTACAAAATGTAGAGGCTAGTAATATTATCGTTTTTAGAAAAATAATAATATTACTAGCCCATTTGTATGCAAAAAGAAAATTATTTAAATCTTTATAAAAGAGTACATATACCATTAATTAAATATACCACCATTATTTCCGCCCAAATACTAATTAATTACATACTTAATTATGTTCGTTAATAAATTATTCTAAATAAATGTGGATTTGAATCAGAAGTCAATATAATAATAAGTTCCGAAAATGAATGTCTCCGTTGTTATAAATAAGTATTTTTCAAAAAATCAATATCATTTTTAAGGTGTTAGTTTTTACCACACTGTTTAATACGCATACAAAATTCAATTTTTTAGTATTTGGAGCAATTATTATTAATCAACGCAAACAGTCAATTAATGTAGTTTGAATACTGGAATCATATTAATTGGTCCTCTTTAACAAATATTTAAACAGTTTTTATTTTTATTTTTTATTGAAACAAACTATATCGACAATATTAATACCTGTACTCTTTAAAAATTTGGCACATCTTTAAAAATGTCAGTATTCCATGGGTATATTGATAAATGAGTTCTAAATTACAAGAAAATGCATTTTCTACGGAAACTTGAAGAGATAAAATGGTATAATACAATTTGATGAACAATTAAATTATGCATCTGATTCTCATAAAATATACAGTGTGTTCCATTTAAATTAAACAAGTTATTGCCGTTTAAAGCTAGTAATTATTTAAAATGAAATTTTAGACACTCTGTATAAGGTAGTATAATTTTTATTATTGCAACACAATAACTAATCAATAAATAAACTTCAGTAAATATTTAGTATTAAAAACTTTGATACCCTTGGAGAAATGAAGCCTTAAAGTTTTTACTGCAATTTCACAAAATTGAAAATATTTCAAAAACGGTAAGGTTTAAGTGTAATAAACCTTTATCAAATTTATCTTTATTTTAATCGTAGATACTAAAAATGTAATAATATACACGGTGTTCCATTTAAAACAATACAACTTTGATATTTTTTATTTATTGGGGACACTCTGTATCTTGTAAAAATAGTTTTAAATTGTAGCTCTAATAGTCCTTCAACGAACCCAAAACTTACAATTTGTATAAATCTAATCGTTTAGCTACAATACTCCGTGTCGTATGTGGTGAACAACCCTGTATATTTTCCTTTTCGGAAAACTTCTAAAAACGATAAATTTGCAAAGAAACAAAAAACTTAATAACATTTGAAGAGGCATTTCCCGCCATACAAAAAATAGCTCGTCAAATAATACCTCTACACTTTTTTACTTAAATTTGGCATTGCTCCAGTAATGAATGTTGTGTTCCGTGTTATTTTATTTTATTAGTTTTATATTTCAAATCTTTATTATGTAAACATTCCATATTTTCATTCAGGAAAAGCTTTGTTTTTATTCAGGAACGGACAAAAAAATAATAATAATCTTAATTTCAATGAATTTCGAATATTTGAATGAAATTTTAAATATGTATGTAAAAGACGGAAGTGAAAATTAATTTAGATCTCTTATAGATAAACTACATAAAATATTTTTGAAATTGAAGGGTCCAGGGGTTAGGTTAGTTTAAAACACGATAACCGCCAAATTCTTAATTTTAGGGTT